GAATAAAAATAGCGAATACAATGTTCTTCTGGTCTGGCCCCACGTGGCTGGAGAGGTCTCCAGGCTCAGTGGGCCGGCATGGAACCTTTACATCTTTCCAGGTGAAGAGCGTGTGCAGGAATGCTGACCAACAATGGTGGTTGAATCACCTCATGGCCAGGAGGGCCGGAAACAGGGGTGGAGCCTCCCTACCCAGGAACAACAAACTCTCTAATTGGTCAGCATGTAAACAAACAAGCAAACAAGTTAGTTTGTGTTGCAGGCCCTTCCCCTTTGAAATTTACATCTAGATTGCTTGACCATCCAACACCCCGGAGCTCATCTTCCAGCGTCATATCTTGTAGCCTTTTGTTTCTGTTCATGGGGTTTTCTTGGCAAAGATATTGGAGTGGCTTGCCAATTCCTGCTCCAGGTGATCACATTTAGTCAGAACGCTCCACTATGACCTGTCTGTCTTGGGTGTCTCTGCACGGCATAGACCTCAGCTTCTCTGAATTACTCAAACCCCTTCGCCACGACAAGGCAGCAATCCATGAAGGGGCAGCAATCCATGTTTTAGCATGTTTTAAATCAGTGTAAAAAAGGTGAATACACAACAGACATGGAAGTGTGGATTATTTTGACAGAAAATCATGTGTTTTTGATTGGCAGCAAGTTTGCTTTTTACTCCTCCACCAGATGGTCATTTTCTTTGACTGAGATGTTTAATTGATTTAGTTTCCTTGCTCCCTTCTCTTGCTCCTCTTCTTCCATGAGAGGCCAAGGTGCTGCTCTTGCCTTACAAAAGTGACATCCAAGTCTTGGCTGACTCTGCCTTTAATTCTGTCTGTGTTCGCTCCCCCACACCCCCAGCTCAGGCTGTCTGGTTGGAGTCACTTGCTTAAAGTTTCTTTTATTACTGCTTCACTTATCATAGGATCATAGAAAAATGAAGTTGGAAGGAGCCTACAAGGCCATCAAGTCCAACCCCCTGCCCAATGCAGGAATACAAAGTATATCTGCCAGGTGATTATCTAAGTTTTTCTTGAATGCCTCCACTGCTGGAGCACTCACCAACTCCCGAGGTCACTGGTTCCACTGTTGTACTGCTCTAACAGTTAGGAAGTTTTTCCTGATATTCAACCGAAATCTGGCTTCCTTTAACTCGAGCCCATTGTTGCGTGTCCTACACTCTGGGATGATCGAGAACAGAACTTGTCCCTCCTCTGTATGACAGCCTTTGAAATATTTAAAAAGTACTGTCATATCACACCTCAACCCTCTTTTCTCAATGCTAAACATTCCCAATTCTTCCAGCCTTTCCTCGTAAGGCTTGGTTTCCAAGTCACTGATTCACAGGTGAGAGTTTACATTTTTTATTAAATGATTTGAGGGTGTAATTCTGCCCTCTTTTTTCAAGAGTAAAACAGATTATTTCTCCACCTCAGAGGGAGTCATTGGTTTAGGACTGTGGAAGAGGAAGAAGGAGGGGGAGGAAATGATGAAGAAGAGGAGCGAGAAGGACAAGAAGGAAGAGCGGATGCTTTGCCTGGTGTGTAGTTTTGAATCCTCCTTTCCCTGTCTCTCTTCTCCCTTAAAAACACAGGGATGAAAAGTCTACTAAGAGAATGCCAAAGGTGATTCAAATACCATGTGACTGCAGCATGACTTTAAACTGATTTCAATAGTACTGCTGCATATTCCAAGGTATTTCAGTAATTATACAGTATTCTCCAGTCAACTCACTGCTAGAATTTGCACCTTTCCTCTTCTCCAGAGTAGCATGCTGTCATGCTGGTTTGAAAATAACTGAGTCAAAGAAGATTAAGAAGGGAACTGAACTTTCAGGATGTATCGTAGGGGAAAAGAGAAAAACTCCAGGGCCTGCCCACTCAGATGACTAAGAACCATCATTTGAAGTTGTGGTGATGATGGGGATGGTGTCATGTTGAGGAAGTTAAGTGTGAAAATTCCTGTTTATATCTACAGTATAGTGTGGATTAATCCCATGGTTAATAAATCACACTCTGACATTAGGACTTCTGGTGATTAAGTTTTTTCCTCCCACAATCAATTGAATGAATTAAGAATACTGTTGAGCACTAATTATATACATCAATGGCGTCCCTCTGTCTTGTGTTCTTGGGCTACCACAACTCCCATCAACATGCTAACTGGGAGAGTTGAGAGATGCACCCAAAAACCTTAGGCAATGGTGGGCTGACATGGATCTGAAATATTATTTACAGTTACACATTTACAATGGTTTTTGAAGTACTAGCTGTATTAGTCTGTGTGAGCATATCAGACAGAAAAAAAGACAAAAGAGATAAAAATACAATGATATCTTAAAGACTAACTGTAATATTTTCATGTGAGCTTTTGTGGATCAAATCCACTTCCTCAGATATAAGACTCAGATTACATGACTATCATACTTATACATATCCCCATAACTATCATACACCAGAACTTAATTTTTTTATTTTTTCCTTTTAAAAGACAAACCAAGTTGAAGCCTGTCAATATTGCACAAAATAAGAATTAAAAGACCAATTGGTGTTCATTTTAAGGCAACCCACTGAGATGTTTAATTTTTCATCATATTGGCAAAACGAATAGGCGGCATAATAGCTGCCACTTGTATCCCAGGATGTAATCCAGAAGGAGCACCATGTTAATCTGTTGCAGCAAAACTGACAAAATCTCTTGGGACACTATAAAGATGGAAATGACTGGATTCTGTGCAGGCTCTCACTTCCATTGAAGGAAGAATGGACAATGAACTTTGTGATAGGTTAGTCTACTAGCCACCTGAGTTTATGAATATTGTCAAGTCCATCAATAATGAAAGGGCAGATTTTAATCAGTAGTTAAATCTCTGACCTTTATTGAATAAATAATGATGATTTACTGATCACATTTAAAACTAAAATACTATCCTTTGAAAGGTCACAAGAAGAGACTCAGTTTGTGAAATTTGGGATGAATATGTTTTCCATTTTATTACTTTGCATGACCCAAGTTTAGTTTTTGAAAGATATTGAAATCTGAGTCAAATGAAAGAAATTGGGTCAGGAAACAGTTGTAGAGTCTGTGACAAAGTATAATTCAGTATGTATTAATCCTCATGTAACATCAAATGGTTGTGACGAGGCAAGAAATTATCATGTGATCAAGATAAACAAAATCAAGATAAGCAATAACATACCTAAAAGGCTTTTGGATGGACAGCTCAGCATGACAGATTAGAATAAACTGTGTGACTATTCTTGTCATCAGAAAGGAAAACAGAAAGGAAAACAGTAGAGGTAGCCATGGGAAAACCTGAAAGGGCTACATGGAAGATGGTGCCGTTCCAAGATTATGCAATTGCTATACAGCTCAGTGGCTTAAGCATCTGGCTGCGGAGCCAGAGTTTGAGAGTAGACAAAGATATTCATATTCCTAAATGAATATGAGTATCCCCATCTCAGCTGGACCTAACGAGGGTCTGGCTCCCGGGACCAGCCCGTCCACTCACAAGTCCTACCAATTGTGCCAGGAGCTGCACTGTCTCCCTGCTCAGCTGGCCAGTCAGCAACTGTGTGTGGAAATTTGTTCTCCCGCCCCCTGCCTGGAGCAGCCAGTCGAGCAAGGAGACAGCAGAGCTCCTGGCACAATTGGTGGAAACAGCAGGACCTTTGCAGCATCAGGATGTGTGAGTGGAAGGGAGAGTCCTGGGGGCCAGACCCTCATTAGGTCCACCTGGGACAGGGATATTCATATTTGTTTACGGATACAAATATTCCTATTTCTAGTTGAGAGTTTGATTCCCCTCCTCATGCCTTCCTGACAGAGGCTGGACTTGATGATCGATATGGTTCCTTCCCGCTCTGCAGTTCTAAGATAAAGATTATCTTGCCTGAACCTTATGGAAAATTCCATGAATGAAGCAGAGCAATTATGCAACCAAGGCCTCATTAGGAAGCCCTGGAAAACTTAATTCAACATCACTTAGAATCAAACCAAAGTAACTGAAAACAGAAGCAATTCTATTCGCGTTTGTTGTATAAAAGGGAAAATGGACCTTGCCATTACATAACTATAATTCTTAAGGTTTTGTAATATGCACTTGAATGAAAACAGCACAGGTAGCAAGTCCAGTTGGACAGCTCTTTTAATAAGATATTAACACATAATGTCTCAGGACAAGACTTTATAGATTGGAATAAGATGCTACATTCTCTGTCAGATTGTCTGCAGCTTCTGGCTAGAAGAGAGACTACATTAACAGAGATGTAGCATTACTTTCCCCTGTGCAGACATTATACATATAAGGCATTAAGTATAGTAATTACATCACTGATCCTGTCGTTTCCCCATGTTTTTCCTTTGATACTGGTATGGGGAACATGAGCCCCTCTAGAAGATGTTGGATTGCATCTCCCATCATCCTTTACCATTGGTTATACTGGGTAGGGCCAGTATAACCAATGGTAAATCCATCAACATCTGGTGGTTAATAGGTAAACCTCTCCTGGATTGGTATGTTTTTTGCTTTTTTTGCAATTAGTCCTTGAAAGATGGGAACATCTGTTATCAAAGTAATTTAACAGTTGGATGAATAAAATAGGTACTTGCAAAATACTGGGCTACCATGTCAAATATGTTAACCATTTCAGGTAAATGAAGTTTTAATCCAGATGAAGAAGTTTCCTGGCCCTTCGGTGTGTATATTGTGGATATGTGCATATCCCCCTGCAACTCACTCTGTGCCTGAAGAAAAAGACACATCAGTTTTGGCTGGCCCTTTTTTGGAAAGAGCGCAACTCAGTCTTTGTACCTGCTTTTGATGGTATTCATATGTTTTCAGTTCTCTGTAAAAACACCTTTTTCTTTCAGTGAAGAAATACAAAACGTAAGGCCAGATCATAGATTGAACAGTGCAAGCATAACTGATGGGCACCGGCAGCAGTCTACAGAGCTGCAGCAATAACCAAAGGACAAAGAGCAATTGCAATAGCATCGATGCAAACTATTTAAAAATGATGAGGCAGTTAGGCTGTTTTTAAGGAATATTTATTGCACACACACCCTCTGATTTTCACATTTTTTTCTCATTAGGAATAGTCACTGGGGAGAGGACAGTTTTATTGTGTGAAAGCACCATCTAGTGATTCTGGTGTTTTATTTCGCCACTCTGTTTCATTCAGCAGCACTGTCCGCATTTAGAACACACATCTGTGAAATATGAAGGCAGTTTTTAACAAGTTATATATGTATTTGTATACATGTTAGATATATGTTTTGAAAGTAATCATAGTCATATTTCTGAGATGCCTTTTCCAAAAAAAGAGTCAAAGTGTCTAAGAATTAAAATATAAAAACATTTAAAACAATAACAAGAACTGCTGAATAGTTCAGTGGTTTAAGGCATCTGGCTTTGGAGACAGAGGTTGGGAGTTCGATTCCCCACTGTACCTCATTGACAGGGGCTGGACTATTCATAGAATCCCTTCCAGCTCTGCAGTTCTGTGATAATAACAATAATAACACATCACATTAAACTGCACTGCACAGCAGGTATTAATTAGAAAGGAAATCAATAGGCCCCGGGCTGATAAAGAAAAACTAGAGCTTGGAACAGGTCACCTGATGTAGTTCTGAGGACAATCATCACTTTGGAAGGGATTCTGATACAGTCTTGAGAGATCTGAAACCCATTTGACTCAATCTAGGTCCTAGACCTGATTTATATGCTGCGGACACTCAGAGCAGCATATAATATGACTGAATCAGTAGAACATATTGAAATATATAACAAACAGAGCAATAAAAAAGTAGAAAATTCATCACCACAAAGTGGTGAAAACACAGATAAAATTTGCAGCAATCAAAAGCCTACAGCATGGGGTAATCCACCGCCTCCTGCATCACATGCAAATACATCATATATCGCAGCGACTATGGAAAGGGGAGTTTCAGAGCATAGAGGTAACAACAGAAAAATATGTCTTCCTAATATGTCAAAGTTGGATGGTTTAGACAGTTAGCATCTTTAAAAGTACAGTTTTGCACTAATGTACATGAATTCTATAAACATAATAGAGCCTAAAGGCGGTCAAATTTAAGAAACCAAGCATCAGATGTCTGTGCACTGGGCATCTGCAATGTTTTTCAGAACAAAACAAAACAAAAACAAAACACAGTTCTTAAGAATATATTCCACGGAGTGCTCAGTCCTGCTCATTCATTCTTTTCTGAGTCAGAAGGAGGTAGCAAGTTTGACCTCATTAATTAGTGCTGTTTTGAGAGTGAGCTCAGTCTCATATTTGGAATAATTTTTTACACCAGTTTTTATGGGTTTTTAAATTATCACATCATTTAGCATAACCATCCCCTCTGAAATTAGACAGACAGACAGACAGACAACACATTTGTATTACCTGTCATTTGCAAAGTCATTCTACATATTACATGATTCTTCCGCATTATGTGCTAGGACCGGAGCAACTAGATCTTCAAATTTCTTCAGTGGACAAGCGTGAGAACAGCCTGGCAGAATCAGAGGATGGGGGTCGACTGTGCTGCTGTTCCGATAGTACATCTCAATGGTGTGCTCACTGATTTTAATGGCACAAAAGGAAAAACAGAAGTGTTTCATTTTATGTTACAGCACAAGGTAATCAATTTTGTAAATGTAGCCCTGATTAGGAAATATTGAGCAAAATCCTGTTGGTGTGACTTTTTGCAGTGTATCCCAGGATCAGGCAATGGAAATATTTAATTTAAAGTAATTAAAAGCTTCCTACCGTCCTCTTTATAGTTTCCAGGACTCCCTAAGGCTCCCTGTAGCCCCAGAGAAGCCTCTGAGAGCCTCAAGATGGGAGAGAGGAGAGCCTTTAATGGTAAAAAAAGAAAAAAGAAAAACCTCTGGATTGATGCCAGCAGTCCTAATCCAAGTGGTGGCAGCAATGAGACATCGAACCACTGCAAAGTTATGCAACAGGATTGTGCCCATTTATTTGGCATCAAATGCCCTCAATGTTCATACTTCTTTAACAGCTAACAAAAGACATTAATCAGAGCTTGGAAATATTGCTTGTTTAGTCTATAATTCACATAATTTTCCAGTCAGTATAGTCTTTGGCCTTCTTGGATGGGGAATTCTGTAACCTTTAGTCCAGAAATGGAATTTTTCCAAGGTCTGTTCAAGATACCTTTTGATTGAGCAAAATCAATCTGGCAGGTGTGATTTTTATGTGTGTCATTTACTTAAAGGAAGTACAAGCAATACTTTTGTCACAAACTGTGTGACTGTGTAGACTTATCTTATGCACATTCATCTAGAATAAAATGAAGTCACCTTGAACTCAAAGGAGTGTATTCTGAAGTGCACAAATGATTTTACTGTCACAGCCCCACTCTACACAGAGACTGAAGTACTTGATCTGTAGCTGAACAGAACCATATATATGATACTTCAAATTTTGTTTTGTTTCATTCTTTTTTGCTCTGAGTATTAGTGGACATAAATTGATTGTCATCTAAACAAGATACAATATTTTTTTAAAAAAAGCCTTGTGGGCCTTTCAAAAAATAAAATTTCTGGGTTAGGTAATACCATTATTGGATCACTAAAAAGTTACAAAAATCACGTTTTACAGAACTGTTCACCAGGCAATAATAGTATAAAACGTTCTGCTTTAAAACCCATATATTTACTATCATTGCTGTACCCTACTGGGCTGCTTTGTGTGTGTGTGTGTGTGTAGCTCATCCTTCTTTATGGGGCAAGAAGCAAGATGGAATGTGCTTCAGGAAACTGTCACTGTGTATGTCCGTAGGTGGCTTTCCTTCCTCTTCTTCAAGCAATCAAATATCTCAACTAATGTGAAAGGATCTATAATCTAAAAAGAAGAAGCCCCAGTGGTGGTGGTGGTGGGGAATTACAGATGGGGGAAGGGGACTGCAGGCTGATTTGAATTTCCTTTTGCACCATGTAATCAATGAAAAAAAATGCAAATCAGCCTGCCTCAAACCCATATTCCCACATTTTAATCAATCTGGTCAACCTTTGGGTGATCTAATAAAGGCATTGTCCAACTCAGAATTACACATAAGAATCAATAATATGTAAGTAAATCTGCTCATTTTGGGCAAAGATACATAATACATCAGATTTTGTGGCATTTTACGCTTTTGTTTGAAAGGGAAGTATGACACCATAAGAATCTTGGGTAATATTTTGAAAAGCAATGGTGGTGTTTTGAAAAGCAATGACCATACTATGCACTTGGTTGTAAAATACCAGAATACAGTATTCTTATCTACATTCATGATTAAATTAATCATATTTAAGCTCCATTAACATAAATGGGGGAAAGTTACTTACGTTTTTGCTTAAAGTTCCCCAGCTAGATTGAAATCAGAGTCTGGAAATTTACTTTTTTGGACTACAGATCCCAGAATTCTCCAGATACCCCCAAATTCTGGGAGTTATAGTTCAAGAAAGGAATTTTCCAAACCTTTGATATGAATGCATATCAACTTGATACTAAAGTAACAGCAGATGCGAATGAAAAACATCCACTATGATCTCCTTTTATGCTGCTGGCTGATGATGTGTATTTTGCCATCTCCCTTGCAATGTGAGATCACAACTTGCAATTCCTCACTACCTTCCTCAAGTACTATGTTGTCATTTTCAAACAGCGCAATTCACTACAGTCTTTATATAGAGCTGGCAAAGCACCAAAGTAGCATACTAAATACAAACTATACTTGCATCCAGTAATGTTCACCTTTTAATGAGTTATACTTGCAACTAGCATGTTGTTAAAAACAAAACAAAAAAATAAAAAACTAAAGAAGACAAAAGGATTGTGGCACCTTAAAGACTAACTGCTATATTTCAATGTAAGCTTTCATGGACAAGTCCACTTCTTCAAACCAAAGCTAGCACAAATGCACATAGCTTCTAAAACTATAGCATGTCATTAGAAGCTGAGCTCCCTTTTGAACAATATCACTTTCCTCAGCTCATCATATTAAAAATAAACTTCTGTTTTCCAATTGGTCATCAGGAGGTAATCAACAGGTTGGTTGGTCAAACACTGAGCTCTGAAGGAATTAGATTATTATTGTCAGCTTCTTATGACATGTTGCAAAGCATATTGCATAGTTTGACCTCATGATTGATCAGCATCTGGGTTTCCATTCTCAGTGCAGAAGAAATACAACTGATTGTCTTCATATCTTATTTGAGCACTTCACAGATTGCGGGGAGAAATCACGGTGTTCATTCTGGCTTGAGAAGATATGCTGATTTTGCAAAAGTTCACCCAAGTGCTAATTATTGCATCTATGAATCGTTATTACTTACCCACCCACTTCCTTATAGAGTTCAAAAAAGTGGCAAGCGGCATAGGGAGGCAGCTGTAGATTGAAAACATCAAGAGCTACCTGGAGGGCAACTAAAGTCATATCATGCTGTGAAAATAAAGAAAACAAAAGTATATAACTCTTCTGACAGAATGTGTGTGTACATATGTATGTGTGCATGAAAGAGAGAGAGAGAGAGAAAATAAGGATGTGACAGACAGGTAAATAACCTGTCCATCACAATAGAACCCTAATTTAACAACCAATGGTTGAAGAGAAGAGGCAGAACTAAGGAAATATAAGAGGAATGGAAGACAATTAAAGATCAGTTAGACTTAGAAGTTAGAGTTAGGGACTTCAGTTAGGGATATCAGTTAGAGAGAAGCAGTTTAGGCAGTTAGGACCAGCCTTGTGTTAGAGAAGGGGAACAGAGAGATAGAGAATACGACAAGGAAAGTACAAATCTTGTATGGTTTATGGTTATGATTAGAAGGAGTTAGAAGTGAAAAGAAATGAATAAATAACTTGATTAAAATGATTCTACCTAAGCAAATATAAATGTTACCTAAGCACAATTTATTGAATGAATAAAATAAGACCATCCATGATTCACTTTACATGATTTACTGATAAACACATAAATAAACATTGTTATATCGGAGAACTGTGATTTAAGAGTCATATTTGATAGAGTGAGAAATAAATCCTCTGGTGGCAGTGGAAAAGGGTTGAGAAATAAATGTCATACCCAAAAGTGTGGAAGAACAAACAGGGGAACTGAGTGTGTGTGACAGAGGATAATATACTTCTATTTCAAATCTTATGATAAATTTGCAGTGCAATCGAAATATTTCTATTCAAAAGTAAGCACCATTGAGCTCAATGGGAATTATTCCCAGAAAAGTATGCAAATGATTGCAAGCGTCATTACTTTACTCTTGCAATATCATTCAGGATTACTCTTCTAAGATTATCTGGAGAAGGAGTTTAAAGGAAAAGAAATACACAACTACAGTATGTGACTATAAGATTCTTAGGCACCAGCAAGGCTGGTTAATGAACATGATAGCTCAAAATAATTCATGTATTAATGTATGTTTTTTTTAAAAACACAATTTAAAAATGCAACTGCATTGCAAAATTTAGAGGACATCTGAGAAAGTTATGTTGAAGAAGACTGAGTAGATTTAGTAGAATGACATGCTGAAGCCTCCCTAAGTAAGCAGTAGGAGGATTGTGTTTTGAGTAGGGTGACGCTTCTGAAAGCCTCTGTGAGCATCATTCTCCCTCTAGAATATGTGCTCCTGACATGCTTGATATCAGTTAAAAAGAAATTAGTTTCTGTAACCAGAAGTGTCCCATTCCCCTTTTGGTTGTTGCGATGCCACCAAATTTCAGCTGCACATGTAGGTGGGAGTTGAGTCAGTCCACGGTACAATCTGGTAAATTGAAATGAGCCCCTTGATCTGCCAAATTCCACCCCCCCTAACCTTGAGGCATGCATGGCAAGGCACAGCAATGCCACCCCTCCTTCTTGCATGCTGGAAGTGGATTGGCAAATTTGCTTCAGACATCGGTTGGAGCAGAAAGAAAAAAAGCATGCTTTTTTTTTTTGCTTTTTTAAATCCATCATTAAATCTTTTGGAGTAATACCTAATGGTTCCCCTCAACCCTTATGTTTCTGTAGTGAAGTTTATTTTTAACCTTTACCTATGAGATTTGTGTATTGCCCTGAGCCAGGATAGTGTAGAGTTGAAATAAGTGAGATTCTGATTCAAATCCCAATTTGACCTTAAAATCTTTTAGTTCAAAACCTTTGAACCAGTTACGATCTGTCAGCCTTACAAGGCTGTAAAGAGGATTTTAAAAACTTACATTTAGGCTCCACATAAGGACTCTTCCATTGCTGTAAAATGAAGTGGGTTTTAACAGAGTTTGCTTCTGAGTATAAGAAAGGTCTTTCCAAACCCAGTATTGGCATTTTAAGGAGGGGAGCAAAGGGCCAGCATAAGGACCTGAGCTATAGAACCTATGGTCCTTTGAAACATGTTAATACTTACTGCGGAAAACATGGTCAGTTTGATTTTGCGATTTAATTTTGTAACATTCAGAAACTTTTCCAGAATAGCTTTCACCAATACACCTGCATGGAGATAAAAAAATAAGTATGATCATGAAACATTTCATAACACATTACCATCATTTATTCTTCATCCAATGCAATGATGCAGGGTTATTTTTCAGGCAAGAATTAAAAATTCTAAATTCCAAATGGAAGAATATTGGATTCAACAGCATCTTCTGATTGAACATGCTAGTTAGATTAATACTATCAGAAGTGGAACAGTGAGTTCTGCTACCATGTTTCCCCGAAAATAAGATAGGATCTTATATTAATTTTAGCTCCAAAAACACATTAGGGCTTATTTTCAGGGGACTTTTGTCCATGTACAACAATCTACATTTATTCAAATACAGTCATGTCATCTTCTGGTTGCTAGACAATGGTGGAGCGTGTGGTTTCACTTAACTGGGGCTTATTTTGGGGGTAGGGCTTATATTACAGGCATCCTGAAAAATTGTACTTATTTTCAGGTTAGGTCTTATTTTCGGGGAAATGGTATTTGGAATTAAGTTTCCTCTTGTATTGTGTTTGCGTTTTTTGTTTATATATTTAAATCTGTATCATTCTCTCTCTTTCCCACTTAGTCAGTGTCATACCTTTCCATCTTCTCTGTCTACCTATCCATCAGAAATCTTTCTATCTCCCTCTTTCCTTCTTATATATCTAATTCTGCAGTAATGGCTACTGTTGATTCTTCTTTGCTGACATGCATTCTTGGCCATCTTTCAGCCTGTTGGTTTTTTTGTCCTTAGGGATGTGTACCCACATGTGTATACCTTTCTTACTTCTGCCTTCACCTCCAGTCCTTGCTTGGTTCGAATGTCCTTTTCCTTAACAACAAGCTCTATTTTTTGTTTTATCTATTCTGCTTTTCTAGTGGAAGAAGGTTTAAAATGTTACGCACTCCCTTCACCTGACAAAAATACAGTGGTGCCCCGCTTAGCAATTGCCTTGTTTAACGATGTAATCGCTTAACAATGAGGTTTTTGGAGCGATCTTGCATTCCGTTTAGCGATATTTTCCTATGGGCAAATTTTGCATAGTGATGTTTGGGACCTTGCTTCGCTTAGCGATGATAGTTTAGGTTCCCCCTGTTTCGCTTAACGATGGTTTTGACAGCCCCGTGTTCACTGTTTTTTATAGGTTTTAAAATGTTTAAAAAGGGTTTAGAATGCTTGAAATCGTTAGTGCACTTAATAAACCCTTTGTTAAACTACTTTGCCTTCGTTCTGACTCTTTTTGTATTTTTTGTAATTCCCCCCCCATAGAAATGCATTGAATAGGTTTCAGTGCATTTCAACTGGGGAACCGCGTTTTGCTTAGCGATTTTTCCTATGGCGATTTTCGCTTAAGGATGGCAATCCGTTCCCATTGGAACGGATTATCCAGTTTTCAATGCATCTCTATGGGAAAACGCATTTCGCTTAGCGATGTTTTCCCATAGCAATGTTTTTTCTTTTGTACCAATTAAAATCGTTAAGCGAGGCACCACTGTACGTTTAGGCAGTGTTTTCTGCATATTTGAAATATGCACTTTTCTCTCTGTGTAGTTTTCAATGATTGACATTTGTTTAGGTGCTTCCACGGCGACTTGTTGGGAGTCTCGTGGTGAAGTGGTTAAAGAAGTGATTTTTCTAACATCCATGCTCCATTTCTATAGTTTGAAATAAATGCAACTATTCCATAAATGCCTTATATCTCCAGTGATCTCTCTTCCCACAGAATCATAGAAAAGTGAAGTTGGAAGGGGCCTACAAGGCCATCAAGTCCAATCCCCTGCTCAACCCAGGAATACAATGAACCACAAAGCAAACCAGATCCAATTAAGTGCTGCCCTTGAAACATCTCATTGCTTGGGGAGTGGGGAACAAATACATGGCAAGCCATTTCATATATGTAGTTGTATCCAATTGTGTGCCAAGAACCCTTTCCCAGGTTTTCCTATGTTATTAGTATAAACAGTGATTGTGCGAGTCTGCATCCTGCATCAATAATTTCAAAACATCTACCTTATAAGCTTATGATGTTTTTGTTTTTGTGCTTATTAAGGATTTATGTGCATTTTTATCTATGTATTTTTTCTTTGTTTGTATGTCTTTTTTTGTTTAAACAGAATTTCAAAAAGAAAAATAATCAAAATATTTACTCCAAAATTATGAATATGAATTATAAGATGTGAAAACAGCCCTGCATACACAGAGTCTCTCTCTCTGTATGTGTGTTTGTTTGTCTGTCTGACTGACTGACTGACTCTCTCTGTGTTTGTGTAGACGCTTTTGTCCATGCTTTTGGGAACCCTGGAAAAGCTTTATGAACAATGTTTTTTTAAAAAATCTACAGACAGAGCTTAGAAATAATACACAACAAGCAACAGCATTACCTTCAGTCTTATAGCCAAGTAATGTGAGTATTCCTTTTTCAAAACAACATAACAACTGGCAATGTGTTACTTTTCTGAATGCAATAAGGGATGTTATTTTTTTCTGGTTACTTTCACAAGGCCTCTCAATGAGATTTCTTTTCAAATTTTTCTGCCACATTGGTAGTTCTTTAGATTTTTTTTGTTAAAGGAACTAAGAAGTGGCTAAATTATAATGAGTAATAGAGAAAGTTGAGTAGCAGGTAATGATAATGTTTCCATTTAAAATGAAACATTCCAAGGTCTGCTACCATAATGATTCCAGACCTTCTGATTTGCATCGATTGCACGGCTTAAAAAAGATCTAAAAATAGCATTAGAGCAGGGGTCCCAACCATGGGTAACCCAGGTATTCTTGGACTGCACTTCCCAGAAGTCTTTACCACTGGGGTTTCGTGAAATTGCAGTCCAATAATATCTGGGTTACCCAAGGTTGGGAGCCACTGCATTAGAGGAACAAAAACACACCATTCAGGATGTGTGATGCATGTCACAGTGGTGGATGCTCTATTCTTCTATGCTTACCTCCTTGCATCCTCGCTTTTTCTTCCCTTTTGTGTATCCCAAACATGCCATTGACAGCATATGCCAATAGCTTTTGCAGCCTGGCCATGGCATGTGCACCAGCCCAGTAGGGTACAGGTAGTTTGTGAATTTTCTACAATAAAGAGAAAGAGAGGGTTCTTTAAGTCATGCAATTTCTCCTCGTTTTTTTTTCTGTTCTGTTGCTTTATAAGGTTTCTTTTCATTTATCTATCTTACAAACTGCTCTATTTTCTTTTGGGCCTGCGCAGGATCTGTAAGGGAGCTGACAACCACAGATTTAAAGTATAGTACAGTAGTCAAAATGAAAGAACAAATGAAAACAACCAAAATGCCAAGATCTAATGGATTAATTCTGCTGATAGAGCTGCTTCTGGTAATGGAACAGGGATGGCCTCCTGTGTACGCCTGAAAGCCTGCCCTCAACTGATAGAAAAGCCATTGCAGCCAGTTTTCTGATGATGGAGAGAGCTGCCGAGGAGGAAAGGGGAAGAAAATTCAGTTCTGCCTGCCGGCTGGAGGCCAAGGTTAGGCAATTGCAACAATGTGGTACGTAGACCCCAGAATCTGCTTTAAGCTGCGTGGCTCCTCCCTATACCACAAACATTTGGTGCCAAATCACTTCACAATTTCAGCAGCAACCAAATGGAAGAACTTGTTTTAAGCAATGTTTTCTGCATTTGCTGCTGAAATTCAGAGGCAAACAATTGGCAGCTCTTTAAAATGAGGGACAAATAAAAAAAACTAATCACAATATTTGTTAAAAATCACTGGTTCGTTAAATATTCATTGCTTTGTATTTGTGAGTTCCAGGGACTCCAATGAATATGGACAAATATTGCTCCATTTTTATTTGTCCCCCATAGGAAAACATAGCTTTTCCACTCTGCCTATGAGCCCACTGATCAGTGGATCAGTGGGCTCATTGGCAGCCAGCCAGACCCACAGCTACCTACCCCACAGCCAGTCCCTCACCTACCTTAGTCACTGCTGCCATTCGCCGCCACCATCCATCGCCACCTGCTGTAAGGGACACTGGCTGCCCTTTGCAAAGATGGTGCCTGCAACTTCTTTTAGGGCAGAGAAGCTGCAGCCGCCATCTTTACAAAGGGCAGCCCAGATTCCCTCAGCCTGCCTTAAGGGAATCCAAGTTGCCCTTTGCAAAGATGGCGGCTGCAGCCTCTCTTATGCAGGGAAGCTGTAGCTGCCATATTTGCAAAGGGCAGCCCAGATTTCCTTAAGGCAGGCCATAGCAGCAGAGGCTATCGCAGCAAGCAGAGGTGGATTACGGCTGTGGAGGCTGCCATGGCACTGGCAATAGGGTAGTGGGAAGGGGAGGGGGCAGGCTGACGGGGGTCAGCTTTTTTTTAGACAGTCTCTGGCTGCCTAAAAAAATGGGGAGGAGATTCATGGTTCATGGTTTGTCAACTTTGATGGACCACCAGCCAGGATGAACCACCATTTTGGCAGTTCATTCCCATCTCTACAAGGCAACAGCCTTTAATGGCTTTTTTTGAGCTGGATATGCCATAATTTCTTTAAAGTACCTGAACTAATAAAGCATCATATGCATTCCACAGTTTTTGATTGGTAAAATCCAGAAGAGTCTTTATGTCATATCCCATGTTACTTGCCATTCTATTTAGAAATTTCTGAAAGATAAAATGGAGAAATATCAGTAGGCTGGAAACATAGAACAGTTTATAGAATTGAACTAGAGATGGACACAAACCATCAGTTCAGTGGTTCATACTGGTTCATCTTTTGGATAAACAGGTGCTCGTTGCTTCCCTGCCCTGCCTCCTATGGTGGGCACTCACTCAGAGGCAGCCCACCAGAGGAGGCAGGGCTGGCCACACAAGCAGAAAGGAGGAGATCCTTGTTAACAGCTTGTTTGCAGTTCTGTGTTTAGCTCTGCAGATTACACTTTTACAAAAGAGCTACCTAATACGTTGTGAACAAGGTTTTTCTTCCTCATTTTCTCATCTCAATATCTTTTTTTTTTCCAATCAGGAAGAGCAGAAGCAAAACAAGGGCAACTTGGGGAAGGGAATCTTGGATGTTACCCAACCGTGCATTACAACAATCAGTCAGACTGTGGAATGCACTCTCTTCAGAGCTGCAATCTGTTTCCATCCTGACTTGGTTTAAGAAAGGAATTAAAACACATTTTTAGACTTGTGTATGATATTTATCCTACCCTACTGTGTCATTTTTAATGGTACCCTTTCTTGATTTTAGTGGGTTTGATGCATGTACTTGATTTTAATGTTTTTTATTGGTTACCTTCATGTTGGAGGTGGTGGCGGCAGCAATGATGATGTAATGTAATGATGATTATGATTATTTTCAGTGAAAAGACAGACTTATAATTTCTGACACTGGAAATGGCACTTTAGGAAACATAAGACAATTGGTGAGCAGATCATAACATTCATTTTCTTTCCTTTCCTTACCATATATGACTGCAGTTCAGCCTGGACTTGTTTTGTTCCCATGGTTTCTTTTAGAAGTAGAAGAAAACGTTTACAATCACGGGTGGGATATAATAACAACTACAATAGAAATGTAAAAAAAATATAAGTACTGATCAGTAATTTCCTGATACTAACTGCTACTTGTCTGAATCCATCCTAAATAAGATTTCTATTCCTGAAAGAGAAAAATACTTTGATCGAAACCAAAAGTTAGAATTAAGTCTAGATCTTACAAAGCAAAATACAAAGCACAGATCATCTACCTTCTCACATTTACAGTATGTATAATTCTTTATAAACAATATATTCGCGAAGGCTTTCACAGCCGGGATCTAATGGTTGTTGTGGGTTTTTCGGGCTCTTTGGCCATGTTCTGAAGGTTATTCTTCTGAAGGTTGTTGGAAGAACAACCTTCAGAACACGGCCAAAAAACCCACAACAATTTTTATAAACACTTTGTAAACACTACAGTGTAATCCGAGCAGCTACCCCACTCTCTATATAATATATCATAAGTGGTATTCTTTATAAACACTTTGTAAACGCTACAGCGTAATCCGAGCAGCCCCTACTCTCTATATAATATATCATAAGTGGTATGGAAGCACAGGAATGAAGAAATGGAATATAGACTTTGAAACCATCAATGCATACAACAGCACATCTGCAATGCAGTCTCATCTACACTTACTTAACCTTCAATAACAACAAAAACAAAAGAAAAACAGTATTGTATTGTAGCCCCTTTAAGACTAATACAGTTAGCTCAGTGTGAGTTTTTGTGGGTTACAGTCCACTTCTCCAGACACATAGGGTACAATATCTGGGCCACAGGTTCACATACAATGTATAGTCATGTGAAACAGAAAGTGCACTCTCTTTGTATTCTATGATTTTATGTGTCAGGACATAAAAAATCATCTGCATCTTAGCAGGTCTGAAAATTAGGTAAGTACACCTCAGATGAACAACAATACATGGCATATTACATTGTGGCATTGTTTATTTTACAAAAATAAAGCCAACATGGAGAAGCCATGTGTAAAAATCTAAGTACACTTTATGATTCAATAAGCTGTAGAACCATCTTTAGCGGCAATAACTTTAAGTAATCATTTTCTGTATGACTTTATCACTCTCTCACATTGTTGTGGAGGAATTTTTGCCCACTCTTCTTCACAACATTCCTTCAACTCATTGAGATTTCTGGACATTTTTTTATACACAGCTCTCGCAAGGTCTTGCCACAGCATTTCAATCAGGTTGAGGTGAGAACCTTGACTGGACCATTGCAATTCCTTACTTCTTTTCTTTTTCAGCCATTCTGTTGTAGATTTACTGGAGTGCTTGGGATCATTGTCTATTGCATGACCCAATTTCAGCCAAGTTTTAGGTGTCAGATGGATGGCTCATATTTGACTCTCGAATACTTTAGTATACAGAGTTGTTCTGGTCAACTTGGTGACTGTTAGGTGCCCAGGTCCTGTAGCTGCAAAACATGACTGTACATGGTGTGACAATGGGAGTGAGAACTGTCATACCATATATAGTAATGAACTTGCTTTCTCTATTATCTTGTGTGTAGCCATACTGTTGTTTTTAGCAACAGGAGCCCTGTGGCACAGTGGTTAAATCGCAGTACTGCAGTATAGCCTCCACTCATTACCTGAGTTTGATCAAGATGAGTTCAGGTAGATCATTCACCTTTCCATCCTTCTGAGATCAGTAAAATGAATACCCAGCTCACTGGAGGACAAGTTGTTAGTTGCATAATTATGTTGTAAATTGCCTAGAGAGTGCTCTAGTACTATTGAGCATATATAAGTTGAAACAATAAAAAAAAACTGGCTGCCTCTTGAAAACCCAGGTTTTACAAATTGGAGTCCTAAAAACTCATGTCACCTGTATTATCCTATTGCTGGGATATGCCAGGATATTGTGTTATCAAAACTTTCACTGTTCACTACATATGTTGATATTGCCACTGTCACTTCGTGGTTTGTTATCAGCTGTAAATATGCTATTGCCATTTTCTTTTTCCCATTCCACTCTTATCTTCACACCATGTACACTGTATTTAATCCTGTGGCCCACATAGGGTACTCGACATTTTGGAAAAAGTGGATACGAATTCACAAAAGCTCTCCTACTGCAATACATTTTTAAGCCATAATGATGTCACACTACTTGTCTTTTTATTTTCCTTCTTGCTGAAATACAGCAACACAGCTACTTATAAAAAATGCTATAAACTTCACTCGTCTAGTCTAGTCCAACTGATCCATATTTACATGAAGGACGTCTTACTGTGTTTAATGGACTTAATCCTAGATAAGCAGAGTTTTTGGTTCTTTGTGGAACCAAAAAGTGGAGCTCACCTTCTGTATCTACTTGTTGGTGTCAATTAAGGTACATAATGAGTACATCAATGCATTTGTGTTTTGATTGAGGATTGGGTAGTTAATCTGTGTTTTGAATTTCCCTGCTTCATTCATAACTTTTTGCTTTAAACCAGTATTTCTTAACCTGGAGGTTGCAATTCCCAAGGGGGCCCCAAATTGTTTTCTGGGGGGTGGGGGGTCACGGGTTGCCTTATATGTGTTGTAGACCTTGCTAAATAATTTCTTCCTTGAATTTTTGGAGTCGGATATTAAAATTATGAGAAACAAGCCCCTTAGGTGAGAAAGAAGCCTCTACATTCTGAGAAGGGATGATTTTACCTAATGAAAAATGCCTTTTTATACAAACATGGGGGGGGTGTCAAAAAGGTTGGGAACCACTGCTTTCAACTAAATATTTTCCTCTTCTTTGGGGGATCTTCTTGTTTTTTAAACCATAAGAATCCAGAGACATCAATGCTGGGAGAAGAAAATCTGTCTTTTCTAAACAATTTAAGTTAGGACTTTTTAAAAAAGCTACCAAAGAAATGAAGCAATCAATAGAAGCAGTAAATTGGACTGACATTGGAAAGTAGGTCAGCTTCTCCCATCTAGTTTTAGCTGGATCGCTAAAGAAACAACACCCATTTGCAAAGAAGAGGGAGTTGTCATTTAAGCCTATCTCTTAAAGATATGGGTGCCACACAGAACAAAGTATTACACATAAATCTGCTCTCTTTAATGTTTATGCACTGATCAAAGTTTTGTCCTGGGGGGGAAAACATTCCAGGATTAGTTATGTTTCACCAAATGCTGTATCTACCCATGGGGTGGGTTTGGGAACGACAGTTTCAAAAAAGAAGACTGTTTCCTGGCAGCTGGTTAAACTGAGGTCTGTCTTCTGTAAAAGAGGAAACGTGACCACTCTGTTGCTACTGGCTTTGATGCTACTAGAATGTGGCTTGGACGAATTACAGCGGTACCTCGGTTTATGAAAGCCTCAGTTTATGTAATTTTTGGTTTATGAACCAAAATTCATAGAAAATAATGCCTCGGTTTACGTTCCCTCCCCTCTTTTCCCCCCCACTGTACAAAAGGATTTCCCCAGGACGCATTGTGCCTGGAGGTTTCTAGTGCTGCTCCCGTTCCTAGCGCAATCTGCATATCATTTTATGAAATTTCTGCATTACGTAACGTCTCAGAGGACGCATTAATTTCATAAACCGAGGTACGTCTGTAGTCCTGAAAAAAAGGCACCTGCAACAAAATTAAGGCCTCTTGATCTATGAAATATAACGGGGATGGGAAATCTCTTCTCTATAGGCCTTGAAGGCTTCAGGGGAAACCCTTCCTGCCCCCTCAGACTGAGCTATTACTTCAAGAAATGCCTCTTAAGACGACAGCCAATTTGGCTTTATTTTTCTTTTCCCCTTTCCCAACTGGGCAGAGGCAGAAGCAAGACAAGAGGCAGACTCAGCCATTGGTCTGGAGGTGCTCAGCCCCCATTTGCCAATTCAGCCTGTTGAACTGACATCTCATCTCTCCCCCTGCTCCTCACCAAGGATGCCAACAGAGATACAGCATCAGCTAGCCTACCTTACTTCGTTTCCCTGCTTCACTTATTAGCCTCTTTGTGTCTCTGGGTATGCATTATAGTTTGGTAAAATTATTCCTTGAATTACAATTCCTAGAAGCCTCCAACCAGCATAGGGGGAATCTGGGACTTTAGTCCAGAAAGTAACTTTGTTGCAGAAAAACAACAGCACAGTGCTGGTGCATCTTAAAGGCTAAGAGGTTTTATTTGGCATCAGTTTTCATGACATCAAAGATATGTACTGTATCTGATCAACTGTGCTAGTCCGTGAAAGCTTATGCCAAATGAAACTTCTCTTTTCATTTTTTTTATTTTTTAACATATATACGCATATCCATACACATACACATACACATACATATATATATATACACACACACGTATGCCTAAATCTCTATCTACAAACAATACATACTGTAAAGCTTAGCCTACAAGCTTTTTGTATAATAACACATTTCTTTCAGCAGTGTCTTCTCATTATTCATTTTGGTCATTTACTTTCTATTTATTACAAAGTTTTTGTTTTCCACCATTCATAGAACATGTTCCAGCTTTCATAGTAAGTTGATTTTTCTTGCTCTTTTAGTCTCTTTGTGAATCTATCCATTTCTCCACACTCTAGTATTTTTTCGATAATCAATTCGTCTTTTGGTGGGTCTCCCTCTTTCCATACTTGTGCCCATGCTAATCCAGCAGCTGTAAGGACATGTGATATTAAATATTAACTTTGCTTATTTATATTACAGTGGGGTCTTGACTTGAGAAGTTAATCCGTATTGGAAGGCGGTTCTCAAGTCAAAAAGTCTGTAAGTCAAGTCTCCATTGACCTACAGTGCATTGAAAACCGATTAATCCTGTAACAGGCCGTTTTTGTTCCATTTTGGTTTTTTTCTGGTCTGTAAGTCAAATCTCAGTCTGCAAGTCAAACCTAAATTTTGCGGCCAGAGAAGTCTGTAACTCAAAAAGTCTGTAAGTCAAGCCATCTGTAAGTCGAGGGTCCACTGTATTTGGTATTAATCCCAATAAAAAAGTTTCTGGTTTAAATTGTATTTCTTGCTTAATCAGCCAAATGAAACTTCTTAAACATTAAGGAAGCAAAGACTCTTTGCTGTTGCTTTTGGTTTGGTTTTGCTAAGGACTAATCTTTGTGTGTCAGAGAGAGAGAGAGAGAGAGAGAGAGAGAGAGATCAGGGAAGCAAACATTGGTTCTGGGTTGTAGTAGCCCCATCCACTCCTGCACATGGCCCTCAACATGCTTATCCAGGGACAATTATGTCACCTGCAGGCTAAAATAATTTTCCCATCCCACCACAGAGGATATGAACAAAAGAAAACATAGGGTAAGGCAGGAACAGTGCACCACAACCCAGATTCTTATCTCATTGTTATTTGCTCTCCATTTCCTCAAAACACAAGGCAAAAGTTCCCTTCCACCCAGTTTTCAGAACTTTGAACAAATTTAATTACAATCCCTCCTTATCTGACTTTGGGAAGCCGAGCAGGAATATGGGTTGTTCCATTATTTAAAACACTCTAGTTTCAATGAGGGAGATTATTATTAGCCTTAGATTAGGCATCCTTCAGTCTCGAAAGACTATGGTAACGTGCTCTGTATGGAGGACTTGGAACAGCGTCTACTCTGGCTGAGGAGGCCAATTCGAGAGTGACCATCCCTTCCACACTGAAGACAAATATAATCTGTCCCCTATCCAGCTCCTTGATTTTACTGTTTTTGGGACTGCCTCTTAGCCTCGGCCTGCTGGATGAGGGGTCTCTTCAAATTGGGAATCCAAGGCCGCTTTTAATTCTGCTAAAGTTGTTTCACTGTCCAACTCTTCCAAGACAGGCAGGCATTCAATGTTATTTAATGCTTCTTCAGTTACTGCATTCTCTCTGGAATGTAGCTCAAAGTAGTGCTGCACCCAGTGGTTCACCTGCTGTGCTTGGTCCTGGATGATCATGCCTGTAGCAGACTTCAAGGGAGCAGATTTCTTCTGTATTGGACCTAAAGCCTGCTTGATCCCATCATACATTCCCTTGATGTTACCTGTGTCCACTGCTATCTGTATCTGAGAGCAGAGCTGAAGCCAATAATTGTTGGAACATCTTCTGGCAACCTGTTGGACTTGGCTGCAAGCAGCTCGAAGAGCTTGCAAGTTGTACTCACTAGGACAGGCTTTGTATGCTGCTAGAGATCTCTTATCCTCAATGGCTGGCATCAACTCCTCCAAATGGCATCTAGAGAGAGAGTGTCAGAGATGGTTGAGCCAAGGTACAAAAAGTCATGAACGATTTCCAATTCTTGTGTGGAGATGGTAATAGAGGGAGGTGAGTCCATGCCCTGCCCCATGACTTGTGTTTTCTTCAGGCTGATTTTTAGTCCAAAGTTTTGGGAGGCCTTGCTAAAACAATTCATGAGTTGTTGGAGGTCTTCAGCAGAGTGGGCAACAATGGCTGCATCATCTGCGAAAAGGAGCTCCCAGATGCATTTCACTTGGAATTTGGTCTTCACTCTAAGAGAGATTAAAGAGCTTTCCATCTGATCTAGTCTGGAGATAGACACCTTTTGTTGCAGTTCCAAAGGTGTGCTTCAATGACAGCAAAAAATATCCCAAAAGGGGTCGGTGCAAGGACACAGCCCTGTTTCACTCCACTTCGGATGTCAAAGGGATCTGATGTTGAGCCATCAAAAACTACAGAGCCTTTCATTCCCTCATGGAAGGACGTGACAATGTTAAGGAGGTGAGGTGGAAATCCAATCTTGGGAAGCATTTTAAAAAGGCCATCCCTGCTAACCAAATCAAAGGCCTTTGTGAGATCTATGTTCCCTGCATCTCTCCAGCAACTTTCTGAGGGAAATACCATGTCAGTAGTGGATCTATTAGCTCGAAATCCATACTGTGATTCTGGATAGACTCTGTCTGCAAGTACCTGGAGCCTCTTCAGCATGACATGGGCAAGCAGCTTCCCTACAATGCTAAGAAGAGAGATGCCATGGTAGTTATTGCAGTCGCCCCTGTCTCCTTTCTTCTTGTAAAATATGACGATGTTTGCATCCTTCATGTCCTGTGATACTCCACCTTCCCTCCAGCAGAGACAAGAGACTTCATACAGTTCGGTGCTGATGATCTCTTTACAGCACTTCAGCACTTCAAGAGGGATGTTATCCTTTACAGGTGCCTTGCTGGAGGCGAGGGAATCCAAGGCCGCTTTTAATTCTGCTCAAGTTTCACTGTCCAACTCTTCCAAGACAGGCAGGCATTCAATGTTATTTAATGCTTCTTCAGTTACTGCATTCTCTCTGGAATGTAGCTCAAAGTAGTGCTGCACCCAGTGGTTCACCTGTTGTGCTTGGTCCTGGATGATCATGCCTGTAGCAGACTTCAAGGGAGCAGATTTCTTCTGTATTGGACCTAAAGCCTGCTTGATCCCATCATACATTCCCTTGATGTTACCTGTGTCCACTGCTATCTGTATCTGAGAGCAGAGCTGAAGCCAATAATTGTTGGAACATCTCCTGGCAACCTGTTGGACTTGGCTGCAAGCAGCTCGAAGAGCTTGCAAGTTGTACTCACTAGGACAGGCTTTGTATGCTGCTAGAGATCTCTTATCCTCAATGGCTGGCATCAACTCCTCCAAATGGGCTTCAAACCAGTCAGTCATCTTTTTGGTCTTCTTGCCAAATGTGGGCAAGGCGGTGCTATACACAGCATTCTTGAAATGTTCCCATTGTACAGGTGCATTTGCATCAGCTGAACCTGGAAGGGTTTCCTCAAGGGCTTGGGCAAGTTCCTCCACTTCTTTGATCACAAGTCTTGCTGATACATGACGTCTTGCTAATACATGAAGTCCCATGTATTAGCATGGGGAGGTGGAAACTTTTATCAACTGCTCATCAGGAATAAACCTGTTAGTTAGGAAAGTGTTGAAAGCAAAAATGTTTGGGTGAGGCAGTTTTCTTAATTGTTTGTTGCTTTATCACTCCTGTTGAGATATTCATAAAGCAAGGGTCTCTGCACGAATTTGTTGGGAGAGGAGGAAGCTGTATATTGCTTTGGTAGCATCAGAAGATATTTAGATAGATCACACAACTTTACAGAGTGCCCTGTGCAAAGTACTGTGGGAATGGTAGTTCTCTCAGGAGCTACTGACAAGTAGTGCACAAAATCCAGGGTATGTGTGTGGGCAAGACATATAACAAGACTTTTCATCTAGCAAAGGAGTGTAGGTTTGGAATTCTGTGGTGGCACAATATCTTGCTAAAGATCTTATGAGACCATCTTATTCCACCAAAGGTCCCACTGTAAGCCTGAGGTGTGGCTGACGATAAAACCAATTGTTTAAGAGTCAACCTACAAAAGGTTCAGGGGGCTGATGAAACTGCCCTGGGGACATAGTGCATGTAGCTCTCTAAGGTCCATCATAAATGTGTGGCCCCTGGACATCTGGAAATTGTTTATCTCCAGGGATTGGAAACCAAGTCATGGGACTTGCTGACAAGTCACACCAGTGACTCAACTTGGACTCAACTTGGTTTTTTCCCCCCCAATGACTTGGACTTGACTTGTGACTTCGAACCCACCAAACTCTCCCTTTTTTTCTGGAGGAAAAATGTTGTTTTTAAATAGGGACTTGGACTTGGAACTCAGGACTTGGTACCAAAGACTTGGACTCACACTTGTGACTCGGACCCAAAGACTTGGCAACATCCTTACTTATCCCTAAACCAACATGGGCCACCTGAACATACCTCATATCATTAGATATAACAGTAGTTAACATGCACTCTCAGAAAAATCTCCGTAGATCTGATAGGAGAAAAAGAGGCTGTCTTGGCAACATTTAGTCGCTTGCATTCTAAAACTGCCTAGACAATACAAACTACAGGCTATATTTTCAATAATGTAGAACAGTTCCTAACAGACATATATTGAACTTCAGCTCCCCCCCTTCCTGGTTTGATAACATACTGTATAAATATATGTGTGTTAAATGTCTGTATTTGCCTGTCTTGATTCTCAAACCGCTGCTATTTTCTCGCCATCTTGCTTGTTTGTGCCTTGATTATTTTTGCAAATGCCCAGCAATTATACTGACCCTCACATTTTCCATATACAAACCTGATCTCTGTGTCATAAATCCTGATGTTCTTTATGCAAAATAAAAATAAACAGCACAAATGTCTTTACCGTTTCATCGGATAGAGGCCTTGTGTGAACTGGGACAGGTTGCCAGAGAAGTTTAGGGTTCCAGATTTGCCTGCCTCTAGGAGGAAAGAGCCCTGCTAGATTGGCTTGGGCGCTCATAATGGTTCGATCGTAATCTGTACTTTGGACATAAACCTAGAAAAGAAGAGAAATGGGTGGCCCGGGGCTGTTTTGACTCTCTCTACTCATCTTTGTTATAGTTGCATATCTTAGCAAGATATAAATTAAGCTGGAGCTGTTAGCCCATCGGCTGGCACTGTATGAAATGCAGAGACATCATATACATTAAAGATGATTTTACTCACCGTTTTAGGAAACTGGGTGCAACTGAGACGGTTCCATGCTGGTTAATAACTTCAATTTATTGAACAAATTGAGACATGTCGTGCAGAAGAAATTGGCCAAGGAGATGTCACCTGGTACAGCCCTCCTTAGAGTATAAAGGCCAAGACAACCTGCCTTGTCACAAATGAAGCTGGACAGAAGGAGCATTCAAGCAGCCCAGCTGAGATTCCCCTCAAGAGGCACAAAGGACTGAGGGGAGCCTCTCCAAGTGATAAGGATGACTCTGAAGGGGAATGAACACAGCGTCTACAAAACTTTAACAACTTTAACAACTCAAAGTGCTGGACAAGCTAGCAAAACCTCTCTTCTGTGCACCTCCAGGGATGACTGAGCTGTAGCAAATAATGAAATCGTTACAGTTGGGGATGCTCACATGCCAGACAGATAAATACAGAACTTTAACAACTCAGAGTGCTGGACAAGCTAGCAAAACCTCTCTTCTGTGCACCTCCAGGGATGACTGAGCTGTAGCAAATAATGAAATCGTTACAGTTGGGGATGCTCACATGCCAGACAGATAAATACAGCTCAGGCTCCAGTCAACTTGCTGAAATCAATATCTTTATCTTGGCTGCTCCTTGTTCTTGTTCTCAGCCTTCAGGATTCTTTGTTTCCTTGACTATCTTCCATCAACCTGCCTTAGATTGTTTAATGGCCCTGCTATTGGCTGCTATCTATTTGGACCATTGCCTTGATTTATGGACTGATTCTGGCTCTGAACTTTAACCATTGTTAGCATAGACCCTGAACTCTGGCAATATCTTCTCCATACCTTGACCCATAATAGGAAGCTGGCTGGGACCCTCTGACAGCTGCATCCAGTCAAGCAAAGCCCTACACCTGAGACATCTTCTGCAGGGGGCCTTTACACCATCTCTGTTGTGCCCAAGTATCCTCCTTGTTAAGACACTTTCTCTCCCTGGGACTTGCCAGATTTTCTTTTTCTGAAACCCCGTCTTTGATGGCTCCAGAACCCACCTTAGCCTCAATTGTATCTAAACAGGAGATACCTGATAAGGTCTCAAGTTCAACATCTGACCCAGATCTTTCCCGTTGGGACATGCTATCCTGAATCTCTTCCTGTGAGGAGGATTTCTCCAGGTCTAGCATGACAGCAACTACCTCTGGCAACTCTTCCTTTGCAGAGAGCAGCACTAAAGATACTGCTTTCCATAGAACAAGTTATTCTCTTATTCCTGGGCTAACCAACTTATTCCACCAAAATCACAGGAGATTTCCCATTGGATAGCACAAGCAGATTTCTGGGACAGCCTATTAACAATGCCACACTGTGAGAGGTTCTTGGAACTGGGGAATTACAAAATGGCTAACTACAGAGAGAGGAGGGTTGAAGTGTGTGTGGGTGAATCTTTCACCCATAGTAGCCTCAGGTGGCAGCTTCAGTTTACCTAATGGCGGAGCTCAATCTGTCCATAGAGAAGAAATATTCCCTTGAGTAAAGCTTGTATACAAGAAATTGGACCAATCTCTCACATAATTTCTGAGGATCTTTGTGCAAATGAAAGCATACTGCATGTCCAGTGCATGCCATGATTAGAACTAAGTAGACAAGAAGTGGCCAGATAAAATTATTTAATAAGCCAGATTTGGGATGGTTCCTAAATCTGTGTTGGGCAGTTAATTTTCCTCCTCTCTTCCCACGTAGAAATTCGTGCATATTTCAGTACATAATTTTTCCTAAAGTATGCATTAGTGTATGCATTTGGGAATCTTTTCTAACTTTTGTAGTTTTATTCACTTTCTGTAGAAAATAAATTTTATGAAGTGACTCTTCAAGATTTCAGTCATGATTTCCTAATCATATCTAAAAATGCCTGAGGAAAAACATGTTCTCTGCTGCTGAGAAATGTCCTTTCCTTTACTGCTTTCTGACACCATTACCCAGCATTGCTTGAAACTGCTTATCCAAATCCAAAGCATGCAGAGAAGCTTATTCATCTCTAGTAGTTTTTATCTGTACAAATGTTACTGCTAAGTGAACAGGAAAAAGTGTCTTGTTAATTCCGATACTTGCCTCATGGTGTTTGTATTCATCACTTAAGAGATGCCCATATCTCTTTTTTATGAATTGGCCAAGCTCATATTGCTGCTGCATTCCAAGCTGCGGGACAAACAATAGGAAAATGCACATAAAGACCTTGCCTTTTGCACCCACCCCTGCATTAGCTCATCCAAAGGGCAAACACGCTATGGGTCCTCAGATAGTAATGCTGATTGCACATGGAAACATCATTGGATAAGGGAAATGCTGAGCTGAGTTTCTCCTAGAAATTTCACAGCCTCACGATGTCTTCACATCTAGCATTAAAATCTAGATATTTGGTGCATTCTATAAAATTAATTCGAAAATAAACTGGGCCACGTTCTCAATACTCAATTCTTAATTCGGTGCCAGGTCAAAACCTTCCAGAAGGCTTTTAATTGAAATAATATCAGCTGTGGGTATCATGGCAATTTTTAGAGTATATATTTTTAATTGCATTTTAATTATTTTGCCCTTTTATTTTGCCTTTTTATTGTATTTTAAATGTTGTAAGCCGCCCAGAGACCTTCGGATAGTGTGGGCAGCATATAAGTTAAATAAATAAATACTCCTGTAAGTTTGTCCTCATTGATATTATTATAGAGTTGGGCTAGGAAGCACTTCCACTTCGACAGCCAGATCTGAGAAAGTAGGGATACCATCTGAGTAATTACCCCTTGCTGGGGGTGGGGGGAATCTCACTAAGGCTCAGGAATCTGGGTTTCTCATGATTAATAATGGAAGTATCTTTTCCCTTACTACTGCTTCCAGTTAGCCTTTGCTCACCAAATTACTTAGTTATTATTACAGAAAAAGTTTCTATTTAAATCTGGACAAACATGCTGTCATTGTTTAGCATAATCTCTGAAAATTTGACAGTTTAGGCTAGGAGACCCTGCACCTTTGCATTGATCACAGAGGTTTTAAGATGCCACACAAAAGTGTCTCCTTACCCGTACAGTGAACAGGCCTCTCCTCTGCCCCACATTTTTTGTTTTGCTTAACTCGGAAGTGAACACATTTTCTTTTCCCAGTAGATGAGTGGCTATTCATGACAATGTATGTTGTAATTATCTTTCCAACAACATTCAGTGCTACATATCTCAACTTAATTCCAGGATGATGGCTGTGAGCATAAATTTTAACTCTTCAGACTGTGACTGGATAGTGGGAAACCAGTTCTCACAATCCATCCAATATATGGTAGCTTCATTGCATTGTTAAAATAAAGCAAACAATGTTTTCTGGTATCCTGCTTTAGGTTACATGTGTAATTGATATCTCAGAGAGAATAATGTCCTTTATATCTTGCCACTTAGGGTCAAAGTACATTATTACAAGATGGGATCCATTATGTGTTGAAAATGTAAGATTGTCACAACAGGAGCTTTTCACACCTCCTGGAGTTGGCAAATTAGCTTGTCTTGTTTTGTGATTGTTGATAAGCATAGGTTTTAGTTGCAAATATAATCACTCAGTTGTGGTGCTCTACTGCAAACATATTTGTGGACTACTAATGGATTTTTAGATTCTAATGATAGGCTATCCTTGACATATAATTTGGTCCCCAAACACAATGTAAGAAGGTGCACAGTGCAGGATTTCTCCAAAAACTAAGGGGTACACAGTTTATGGTCTCAGATTATGGGGATCTACACACACGTATGCATGTGCATGCACACATGCACGCGCGCGCGCGCGCACACACACACACACACACACACACACACAATTTTGTGCCATACGTTGAGTCAGATCATTGGTCCATCTCTCCCAGTATTGTCTACACCAGCAGGCAGAAACTCTCAAGGGCTTCAAGCAAGAGTTTTCCCAGCTGCTGTCATGAGTTAAACCTGGGATCTTCTGCATGTGAGAAAGGTGCTCTGCAGCTGAACACAATATGCTCTTCCCAACTGAAGACAATTTTATATATCAGAGACAAGGAATTAAACATTGCTGGACTCCTACTCCGATCAACTGCCTATCTGTTTAACCAAAGGGTGAGGATGATGGGAGCTGGAGCTCCTGCACCAGTATTTACCATTCCTGGTACAGTATATGTCATCCACTAATCCTTATAGTTCATTAAGCCATAGAATGAATGTGAACAGATGGAAGAGAACATAAGAAACTGGTTGCAGCAACTCTTTAAAACAAGAAGGAATATTAAAATATGCCCTTATTAATGCAAATGAGGACTTGAATCAAGGTGTTATCTTGAGTCCATTGCACCAAAGGTGATGTGGAAATTAGTGGAAACTGAAATAATACTTCTGTAATATGTTTAGATTAAGGAGTATAGTTCCTTAATCTAAACATATTTGGAAGCTGTTCAGACCTTAGTGAGTTGTCCGTATCCTTGTGTCCAAGCATCTTCCTTGACCACATTTGTTGGAAAAGTTGAAATTGGACTTCTGTCGCCATGTCGGAAAACCTGGTGAAATGGTTTGAAGATTGTATTAGTTACAGGGGTGGTGGGGAAAATAATTACAAGATCAGTGCTGGAGAAGCCCTTAGCTTTCTACGTATTTGTTTATCTGTCCAGGCATATATACTTGCATGTTTAATATCTGTGTGGGAAAAACTGGAATAGAATGTCCTACATAAAGTCAATGATTTTGCTGCCTGATGCACAGCAATAAATTATGTCCCCAACTGCTTACAAGTAACAGGTTACAAGTGATAGAGTTACCTGGAACTAGTTTACTTATGAGGATATAACAAAATTACATTCTACTGACTGAGATAAAAATTATTTAATGATGTCCTGTGTAACATTTTCTAATCTTTAGTACATTCTAACAGGATTTTTTGTTCATGTTTTATGCTTCTTGAAAACTACTGAAGTAATGGAAAAGTAATGATCAGTGTAACAAATTACTTTTTCAATTAAAACAGTTAGTTTTCAAACATAATAATGGATAATGGGAACAAACTATTTTCAAAACATTATTTTCCAAGTTCTTCCCTAGCCTAACCAAGTTGAAGGCTACAGGTAACCCCTGTTTTGGTACAAGCAGCAGAGGATCCCACAAGTACTGCTTCTCCTCCCTAGCAATGAAATACTGTGCAATTGCTGGTGGTTATATAACTGTTTGCTGCTCTTTCTTGTCACCCCAGATCTGTTACTTTGAGGTAGCTACTTCACTCTATTTCATGCAGAGGTGGACAAATTGGTCTGTAAATACAAGGCACCTGAGGTGTTCTTGTTGTTGTTTTTTGCAGCCCTAGGCATCTAAAAAGCTAACTCCCAAATGTTTGGGCCTAAGAATGGCAAATTATGCACCTAAAAGCCGCTGGGAGATGAAATTTGCAATTTTATGCCAATGTTGTACCCTTGGGCCTGTCTCAGGCTGGGGGGAGCTGTCACTTACTATAGACAAAGTTTTTCAATCTGGTCATCCCCATCTCCCCAAGAGAAGAGTTGTATAAAAAGGTTATTAGGGGAAATGAGACAGGTATGTTCTTTGTACCCCACAAATTGCCTGCTCTGCCTTAAGGGAAGGACCCACAGTGCAAAAGGAAACAAATAGTTCTCTGTTTAAAGTAATTAGACCTGTTTGGACAGAGGAGCACTGAACGCTATACAGTTGCAAAGCTTTTAGCTATACTGTTCCACTAAGACTAGAGGAATTTTTACAGTGGCCCAGAGGTAGATATGCCAGCACAAATGTTTAGCATTGGAGTGTACATTAAATATAGGTGGGGACCAATTTAGAGGAAGTTATGCAAACAAATAGTCTTGAAATCAATGGGGCAAAAGAACTTTGCAACTCAAGCTTCATCATGTTTACTCAGAAGTCTGATTGTTTTTCTTGTTGACATCCTGTGTGCTGAAGCCATCTGGTATAATTTAACATGATTAAAACCAATGAGTTTCATTCAGCAGATACCGATTGACAGGAGAGATTACTCATAGTCCAAAACTCATTAATGTTCTTCATATTTTTTTTACTAAAAAAATGAAAGATGGATGATCCAGAGGATTTTCTCAACCATCTATAGGCAAAATTGGGAGAAATATTAAGGACTTCTTTAAGTGCAACACCATTTTTGTAGGCAGCAACGTACTTCATATGGCCCATAAAGCCCTAGGTACATATGGTTTAACTGAGGTGTACTCGAAGACAAGCCAAAGTTAACAAAGCAAGAGAACTCACAGTAATGGAATGTCAACATGCATTTGAACAGATGAAGAGTTTAACATAAATGTAATCCAAACATTTGTCAGAGTGCTGAACAATTTTAAGAGAACAGGTTTGGTAGCATGAAACAGATATAGAAAATATAACCAAACAACAATGTAGGCATTGGACTGAGTTCCTACTCCAGTCCTCTGAAGATGCCGGCCACAGAGACTGGTGAAACGTCAGGAAGAACAACCTTCAGAACACGGCCAAAGAGCCTGAAAAACCCACAACAACCTATCAGATCGTGGCCGTCAAAGCCTTCGAGAATACAATGTAGGCATTCTTTGTGATTAGAGAAAAAAACAATCCTTTTTTTCAACCAGTACGAATCAGATGTATTGCTAAATTCTAAATTCTTATTATGCACAAGTGTGACTGGTTTTATTCAGTTTTCTTTACCCCTTAGCCCGAGACCAGCAACAACGAATTTAAAATTGAACACTGATTTTTTTCTTTAAAAAATATTAACACAGCACTAATATACGAAGAGTGAGAAAAATTGAAAATGATGGTCTGTGCATAGTGTTCAAGATGCAAGATCAGTAGTGTGGGTGATAAAATCAGCCATACATTTTTAAAAGTTATGGGCCAACGATGAATAAGTAAGTATACTTTTGATACTAGACATTAATGACAAAGTTAAATCAGGGACTGAAATTACATTTTTTTTAAAAAAAAGTAACCCTGATTCTTCAGCCTCCCATTCTAAACATTTTGCATCAATATATTGATACCTTGTGTTGAGTTTTGTTTCTTTATCTTGTAAGAAAATGAGATAGCAAAGGGAAGCAAAGAATTTCAGTCAAGCAGAAATAGACAGTGTAAGATTATTCACAGGATTGCATTGTAGAAAGGAGAACTGTCGATGCAAACTAAATGACACTGTTTGTCAACTGTGAGAAGAAACGTACTTACTGCAATCACGGACCTTAGCTCCCTTCCTGTGGTGCTTTGGAGAAGAAAGGCAAAGAAGAAGCTAAAGAAAGAAAAGCCAAAAAGACGGAAACTGCACACTGGGCACACCCTTGACATGCCCATCCTGAAAGCAGGATGGAAAAGCTTTTTGGTGAAAATAGTCCATGAGGAAAAAGTTGTGCTTTATAAAGAGCAAACAAATGGGCGGAGACTCTCTCTCTGCTTATTTCATCTTGTAGTTTAATTTGATCATTATGACTACTGATTTATGCATTTATCACGTACTTCGGTACAGGAAGTACATTGGGGTTAAATGACCACCACACTTTCCACACAATAGATGCCTCAAGGCTTGCTCTGCATCCAACCCTCACCTACTACTAAACCCTGCAAGTTCAGTCTGCAGTGGCAACGGGTATAAGCTGTGAGGTGGTAGCCACTCGTTGAAATCTAAGTTCAACAGAAGCTTTGTTTTTCCACAATGGTCCAAGACATTTTGCTGCCTGAGATGAAATACAACCTGGAACTCCCCTCCCATGTTCCATACGCAGCAGCTGACTAGAGTGCCAGTTGAGTCTCATCTCAGCATCGGTAATGGGACAACGTACTCCACCACACTTGAGGGTGGGAGGATGAGAAAGATCAGCTATGTGGCACACACAGCTACATTATCAAAGAGCAGTGAATGGCTGTGGAAGAATAAAAAAAGATACTCAGTATTTATCACCTGAGGTGATACTATAATCTTCCTGTGGAAATCCAGCCCCCTCTTACATAATCAGCACCCTGTTTCATTTTATAGCATTACTTTGAGGTCATAATAGGCCTCCCATTTGGTCAGACCAAAGACCAAACTGGAGTGACATCCTGTCTCACCAGGGCCAACCAGATACCTGTGGGAAACCCACAAGTAGGGTTTCCAAGTCTCTTGATGGTGTGCAGCAATTCAGGGAATAGCTGTGCATACTCAGGGCTTCAGGCAGGGGAAGAAAAACCTTGTGGCGCTGAAGGAGGAGAGAGATTGTTTTTTGTCTATGCGGTAGCTTTAAAATTGGGAGCTCTACCCATCTCCCACTGGTGACTGGGCTTACTGGCTCAGTGTGCAGGTGTTTTTCGTGTGTTGTGCTTGTAAAATATAAGTTCACTAAAAAACCAATAGCAAGGGGTGAGACTGAGGAGGGAGGCAGTGGGTGCATACACCTAGAGCTCTAATACCATTTGGAGGGAGGGAGGGAGGGGAAAGCCAGCACTGTGCACTGTTATCTTGTATTCTTAAAATGAGAAGTGTAGGTATGGTTTCTTTCCAAAAGAGAAAAAGTGCTCTGCTAACCATTCCAATTTTGTTGTTGTTGTTGTTTAGTCATTAAGTCGTGTCCAACTCTTCGTGACCCCATGGACCAGAGCATGCCCAGCCCTCCTGTCTTCAACTGCCTCCTGGAGTTTGGTTAAATTCATGTTGGTACCTTTGGTGACACTGTCCAATCATCTCGTCCTCTGTCGTCCCCTTCTCCTCTTGCCTTCACACTTTCCCAGGGAGGTCTTTTCCAGGGAGTCTTCTCTTCTCATGAGATGGCCAAAGTATTGGAGCCTCAGCTTTAGGATCTGTCCTTCCAGTGAGCACTCAGGGTTATTTTCCTACAAAATGGATAGGTTCGTTCTCTTTGCAATCCAGGGGACTCTCAAGAGTCTCCTCCAGCACCACAATTCAAAAATATCAATTCTTTGGTGGTCAGCTTTCTTTATGGTCTAGCTCTCAGTTCAATACATTGTTACTGGAGAAACCATAGCTTTGACTATGCGGGCCCTTGTCGGCAATGTGATGTATCTGCTTTTTAAGATGCTGCCAAGGTTTGTCATTGCTTTCCTCCCAAGAAGCAGGTGTCTTTTAATTTCGTGGCTGCTCTCTCCATCTGCAGTGATCATGGAGCCCAAGAAGGTAAAATCTGTCACTGCCTCTATATCTTCCCCTTCTATTTGCCAGGAGGTGATGGGACCAGTGTCCATGATCTTAGTTTTTGGGATGTGGAGCTTCAGACAATTTTTCTTGCACTCTCCTCTTTCACCCTTGAAGGGACGTGGTGGCGCTGTGGGCAGAAATGGATTCATCCCAGAATGCTAATAGTTTGTATTGGATCTAGAAGGCGATCAACAAAGAAGTACTAAAGTGAATGAATGAAGACCAAGAAATCTTAAAGCACAGAAAGCTAGACTTTCTCAGACAGGAACCGTACAAATTGTGTTTGTGTTTTTTTCAAGATAAAAATACATGGGAAAAGAAACAGAGGAAAGAGAAGGACTTACTAGGTAGAGAAACTTGGCGCCTGGTTTGGCTGCAACACAACACTTAGGTTAATCTATCCAAACTCGAATTAAGGGTGTTGAT